TATTTGTACCTCGCGTCTCTCTGTATCCATACAGTCACTCCCGTACAATCCACAGAGGAGGAGGAAGAGGAGGAGGAGGAGGACGAGGAGGACGAGGAGGAGGACGAGGAGGAGGAGGGAAGAGGAGGAGGAGGAGGAGGAGGAGGACGAGGAGGAGGACGAGGAGGAGGAAGACGAGGAGGAGGAGGAGGAGGAGGAGGAGGAGGAGGACTTTCATCAGCAAGTCGCTCGTCGGTCAGACCTCCCATCGGCGCACGTTCGGTGGTAATCATTTTCATCGTGTCCCGCGTGTGCCCTCGTTGCGTTCGTTGGACCAGCTGGCCGCGAAGCGAGAATTGTGTTTTGTGTGTGTGTGTGTGTGTTTGTGCGTGTGAGAGTGTATGTGTGTGTGTGTGTGAGTGTGTGTGTGTGTGTGTGTGTGTGCGTGCGTGTGTGTGTGTGTGTGTGTGTGTTTGTGCGCACTCCTCCCTGGCAGTCCCCTCTGGCTGGCCCGGGTTGGGGAGCCACGTGGGGCCGATTCCCCCCTTCCGCCCTCCGCCTGCCCAGGCTTTGGAGCTACTGAGCGGCCAGCCGGGTTTTCGCGACAGGGCCGTGGCCCACATGGGTTTTGCTGACTCGGATTCGTGAGATGACCGCCGGGGTTGCTAAGGGAATCGGTGGCTTAGAAGCGGATATTGAGGTGGGTGATGTTTGGCTTGCTGCTTTAGTGTAAAAGTGGGTTACCGGTGCCCGAAATCACTTAAGGGAGTTAGTGATCCGTGCTAACTGGGCTCCGCTCACTTCGTGGAGTGACCTATCCCCCCTAAACCATTTAGGGCACACGTAGCCCACTGATACGCAAACTTCTGCCAATTATATCTCGCCTTAGCATCCGCCTCTAACCCCAATTCCCTTAGCAACCACGCTGGCCAACAGTTTTCGGGCGGTGAATTGGCTCTCTGGCGGCCGTTCGGGGCGATCTGGACACCTCCGGAACGCCCTCGGCGAAGCGCAGCTGAAACGCACCCCGAGGCTGGAAAGCCACCGAGAACCGACGAAAGCGTACGAAAACGGCCGCGGTCATCTCAGTAGTGCGTCCCCGAGCTGGAGCAGCTGCGTCCCCTTGCCCCCCCAAGGCCCGCCCACCCGTCGCGGCAGCCTCCGCAGCCCCCGCCGGCCCCGGGGCGCCCGCGCCCTGCCGAGGAGGCCGCCGCGCGCCCTCCCGCGTGCCAGATTGGTTGGCGCTTGCCGGACGATGATGATGATGATGATGATGATGATGATGATGATGATGATGATGATGATGATGATGATGATGATGGTGGTGGTGGTGGTGGTGGTGGGGGTGGTGGTGGTGGTGGTGAGGAGGAGGAGGGAGGAGGAGGAGGATGGTGGAGGATGGAGGAGGAGGAGGAGGAGGCGGAGGAGGTGGAGGTGAAGAATGAGGGAGGGGAGAATGAGGAAGGGAGGAGGAGGAGGAGGAGGAGGAGGAGGAGGAGGAGGAGGAGGAGGAGGAGGAGGAGGAGGTGGAGGAAGGGGGGGGAGCCGCATGCCCGCATTCTTCGACCGATTGCGAGCCCTACCCCGCTACAGGGCTTCCCGCGTGCCAGATCGGTTTGCGCTCGCCCTCCTCCTCGTCCATGGGGGGGGGGGGTGCATGCCCTCAGTCTGCGACCAATTCCCAGGCATGTAAACAAGCCTGAGTTTTTTTCTTGACTGTTCGGCGTCTGGGGGCCCTTACCGGGTCCTAGGACCATCCACAAACAACGACTCAGGATGTAATAGCGGTCCTTGGGGAACGGGTCGGATCTTTTGGGGAGGGGACCCCGTGTTGAACAAAAACACTACATGCATCGAGTCTCTGGGTTGCGAGCCCGGCACCCATATGGGGTTATCGGCACGCCCGCCGGGGCTAGGGTCCACACGTGGCTGCCTACTCGGGCCCAGGCGACGCATGGAAAGTCGGGACGGTCGATCTTTCTGGGCGCTTCTTCGGCCCCGGAGGTCGTCTCCTGGCCCCGCGGCCGCCAGAATGGGATTCAGGATGGAGAGGCCAGCTCCAGGGAGGGGTCGAGTTTCAGGAGGGAAACAAAAACACACTTAGACACACATAATCGTCGATTTCCAGGAAGATGTGGAAAATCTGTGAGAAAGGGGGAAAATTAAGTTCAGAACAAATAGGAAACATTGGGAATCCTTTGAGTCGTGCTTATTTATTCAAGACGCTTCGCGTTCACCGCTCGCCAATATTGCCTCGCCGCTGTTGTTTGTCGGGGTGTGCCTCTTGGGGCTCTCTTGGGAGGCCTCTTGGTGGTGCGAAGATATTGCAGGCCATGCCATTGGCGGCGCTCGCATCTCTCTACCTCTAAGCTCACTGTGCGCTGCCCTCAAGGCGCGCGCGTCTCTAGGGGGCATCCCGAATTTTAGTGCGGGCGCTGTCCCCCCCAGGGGGTGGGCACATGCAGGTCGGCTCTCAGGTACACTCATCCCTTCCACAGGTGGCCTCTTCGGGGGTCTTGAACGCGTCGTGGGCCGTCTGGAAGCCATCGTGGGTGTCTCGGACCGATTGTTCGACGAGTGCGATCTTGAGCGCTGCCAATTGTCTGAGTGATCGTTGTCAATACGGTCCTGCTGGGTGGGGTTGTTTATGATCTAAGACGCCTACGGCGAATTACCGCCGCCCCCTGCCTTTTTGGAAGCGCCTATGTGGCCGAACGTTGAGGCCAGACCTGCCAAGCCATCGGACCATGTGTTCCCCGAATCGGTTTGGAAAGCCTTCGGGGAACACGTGGGCATCTTGAAGGTAATCGTGGCCCTCTTGGAGGCCTCTTGGGCGATCTGTCGGCGATCTTTGGGGGCTCTTGGGCCGTCTCCGGCCGTCGGAAGGCCGAAAAGAAGGAAATGCCAAAATCCGTCAAAAGCCTAAGGAACATCTATGTTTTTGGCCTCTTCTGGCTTTCCTGGGGGCCCTCTTGGGGGCCTCTTGGGCCGTCTTGGGCCAGCTTCGAGCCAACTTCGGCCATCTTGGTGGGTTCCTGGCACGTCTGACGCCGTCGGGAGCCGTCTAGGGGGCCTTTCTGGGCCAACGGGGGACCCTCTTGGGGCGCTTCGGGGCCGTCTTGGAGGCCATCTTGGGCGTCTTGGAGGCCATCGTGGGCGTGTTGGAGGCCTCTTGGGTCGTCTTGGGGCCCTCTTGGGGCCATCTTGGAGGCCACTTGGGCCGTCATGGGGCCCTCTTGGGGGCCTCTTGGGCGATCTTGGGGGCCTCTTGGGCCGTCTTGAGCCGTCGGAATGCCGAGAAGAAGCGAATGCCCAAATCCTTCAAACATCTATAGAAAATTATGGTTTGTGCTTGCACGTGAAGGAAGTCAAGAGGGGTTTTCATTATGTCGCCCCTTTGGCTCCGCTCCTTCTTGCATCGCATAGCTTCTCTGGTCCAGAGTCGATGGATGGGCGCCATCCCTGAGGGGCGGCCGCGCTGCTGGCCTGGGTGGTAGTGGCGCTGGAGGCCGCGGCCCACGTTGGGCCTGGGGTGAGCCCGACGCGGGCGGCCTGCCCTGACCCTCGTGCCCCGCCTGTCCTGCGTGTCCAGAGGCGGCGGCCGGCCCAGAGGCCGCGGCCTGCCCGGCTTGCGAGCCGCCTCCCTGCGCGGCTTGCCTGGTCTGCGAGCCGCCGCCGGGTGCGACCTGCCCGGCCTGCGAGGCGGCCGGCGGCGACGCCGGGCGAGAGGGCGGCTGGAAGGCTCGCTGGAGCGCTGCCCGGAGGCCTGGTGCACTGGCTGGTGGGAGCCTCCGGTCGCAGGCATGACGACGCTCGTGTGGTGGCTTCTCAGCGTCGTGGGGCGGAGGTGGTGGACTAGAGCGCTCCTAGTGGAGCCTGGGGTCTGCCGATTCGCCGGCGACGACGTCGATGACGGACGGGTGCTGCTGCACTACGTGGCAGAGGGCGGACGGGTCATCCTGTCCCCAGAGGTTGACATCTACGCGGAGGACGTGAGCTGCGGCAGGGCCGAGACCGGGCCTGCCCGGTCCATCCCGCTGGCGCAGCGGGTGGGCAGGATGCGGAGGCTGTATCGCTTCGAGGAGACGCTGGGGCCTGAGGATCGGGCCAGGACGCTGACGCGGGGCCGTCAGGCGGCGCTGTATGTAGAGGCGGCGTCGCCTGAGCCGAGGGAGGCCGGGGCCGTGAGCGGCCAGCGGGTCTCGTGGCAGGAGGCCGCTGGCAGGCGGCTGGCCGCGGAGCGGGGTGGCCTGCTGTGCCTGAGCATGGCCGTGGCTCGCCTGGTGGGGACGCCGCTGGAGGCTCCTGCTGGGGGTGACACCTGGGTCGTCCGCAGTGGCTTGCCCGGCGATGAGATCGGGGCGGAGGTCGACGTGACGAAGACTGGAGGCCTGAGCTTCGAGGACAGGCTTGAGGCGTTCGGTGTGCTGAGGTCCGCCGACGGAGGCACGGGGCGACTCGGCCGTCTGGGCGCGGGGTCGGACGCTGGGCGCCTGGCCGAGGAGGAGGCTTTCAGGCATGACCTAGGCAGGAGCCAGGCGCGTGCCAAGGGCCCCGAGCGCCGACGCACTGCGGCCGCGGCGCCACTCGAGGGTGAGGAGCCCGCCAGGCCCATACGCGGCACAGCTATGCCAGGGCTGGCGCAGCCGCCCCTGGCGGAGCCGCTGGGCGAGCAGCGAGACGCCCTCGTCCGCGCGCTCTGGGTCTTCTACGACGAGCAGGGCGGACGGGTCAGACGATGGCGATACGTGGTAGGCGAGTCGAGGCAGGGGCGCCGCCCAGCCGCACAGGTGGGCAGACCGCCTGGGGCTCTCCACAGGCGCGAGCACATGGCGAGGCACGGTGGCGACCCGCGTCTCGAGCCCGACTTCGCCGTATGCGTGAGGGGCCGTGGGGAGAATGACTGGGTGGTGCAGAAGCTGAGGACGATCGTGGAGGCCTGGTACCAGGGCTTATGACGTGTCCAGCTGAACATGAGCGGCCTTATGATGGTGGGGGAGATGACTCACCGCGGGACCGCCATGCTGGAGGCCTACGGGGACCTGCCCAAGCCGAGCTGGACGAACGCGGGCATCTTCGCGGACGTGAGCTCGGAGCAGGACGTCTCGGGGTCAGAGCTCAGGGGCTACATCCACCAGGGGGCGATGAAGCCGTACGAGGTGGAGCAGGCGCAGAATCGGGCAGGTACGCTACGCGGGGCGCCTGCAAGGACCGTCGGCGGAGCAGAAGGAGCTGGAGGCGACGCAGCAGGAGCGGGGCGTGGTGGCGGCCGAGGCGGCCGCGGGCGCGCCCGGGCCAGGGGCGTCGCCTCCGCGGGGCCATGACGGCCCCCGGGCCGGGGGGGACCAGCCCCTCCCCCGGGCCCTTTTTGCCGGGGCACGACGGTGGCCGCCTGCCGCCCTCGCGAGGAGCTCGCAGCTTCCTGCCGCTCCCGCTGCTGGGCGACGCTGGCCGCCGAATTCGCGGCAGGTCTTGCAGGGCGAGGCAGTTCGGCCGTGAGAATCGAATTGCGTCGGAGGTCAACGGTATCGTCGATGCCGTTAACTGGATGTCGGGGTACGACTCGCTTCCTGGCCCAGCCAATGACATGCAGCGGGATGTACTTGCGCGCTTCGAGGGCCTCGTTCGGGGCCGGCAGCCGGACGCCAAGTTGCAGGATCCGCAGGCGGCCCTCCGGGAGCTGCTGCGGGGCCGCTCGCCATACGACGGGCGCAGCGGCCCGACGACGGTCGCCTGCTACAGTGCAGGGCTCGTCAGCATGCCGATGGACGTGAGCGGCTGCCCGCGTCTAGAGGACCTCTTGCCTGGCGAGGCCCTTACTTTCCTGCAGGAGCGCCATGAGCGCATGTTGCGAGAGTCACCCTTGCCGACTGACGTCGAGCCGTACTTCGACTCGGTCCTCAACTTCAACCACAAGGAGTACCGCGGCCTGGTGCGCCGGCTGCTATCGGCTGGCATTCTGGGATGGACTCTAACACCGAAAGAGAGAATTGGGATGTTTTTTGTGTGGAAGGATGGGCGGCGCCGGCTTCGCCTCATAGTCGACGCCCGCCGTGCGAACGCCCACTTCAAGGATCCTCCTGGGGTGGAGCTTTTGAGCAGCGAGGGCCTTGCCAGAATCGAGGTGCACGTGCCAGACGCGGGCTTCTCGAACTACGAGGACCTCCGCGCCGCGCTGGAGGCGCAGCAGGTGTACATCGGCATGGCGGGCGTGAAGGACTGCTTTCATCGGATGCGTATTGATTCGGCCCTCTCGCAATACTTCTGCCTGCCGCCGGTCAAGGCTGGGGCCTTCGGCGTGACCGAGGTCGAGGGGGCCAAGGTGCAGACGTCGACGGCCATCTACCCTTGCTGGCAGGTGCTGCCCATGGGCTTCAGCTGGTCCCTCTACTTCGCCCAGCGGGCCAACGAGGAGGTGAGCCGCCGCAGCAGCGCGCTCCTTCGGGGGCCCAGTCTTTCAGACCATGGGCCACCGCTCGTGTTCGCGCCGGGCAGAGCGTCCCAGGAGGTCAGGCACTACGTGTACGTTGACAACCTGGGGGTCTTCTCGCTTTTCTCTGAACTCGTGAGCGGCGTGATGAACCAGCTGACAGGCGAGTTCGCCAAGCTGAGCCTACTGCTGCACAAAGACGAGCTGGTGCCGGACAAGGCAGTAGCGCTGGGCACGGAGATCGACGGGGGCCTATTGCGCACTCGTGTGACCAGTGATCGGTTCTGGCGCTGCCGCCAGGCCGTGCGAGGCCTCCTAGCCCGCCGCAGTGTCAAGGGGTGGGCCGTGGAGGCAGTGCTGGGCCACCTAACCTTTTGTGGCCTCTGCTCTCGCGGCACCTTGTCAGCCTTCAATTCAGTCTACGGCTTCGTGCGAGCCCGCTACGACGAGGCTGCCGTGCTATGGGCTGAGGCGCGGCAAGAGCTGGCGGCCTTCAGCTCTTTGATGTACTTCCTGGAATCAGATTGGTGGCTGCCTTGGAATCCCTTGGTGCAGCAGTCAGATGCCAGTCTTCACGGCTACGGACTGGCAAGGGCCTTTTGGCCGCGGGAGCTGGTGGAGTCAGTCGGGCGCGTGCCTGAGCGAGCCCGCTTTCGCCGGCGCTGCGCGCACAGTGCCCGCGAGGCTGCGCTCTGTGCAGCTGGATTCAGCATGAGCGAGAGTGGAAAATGGGAACTCAAGGGCCTTCCTGAAGATGAGGAGGAGCTAGGCCAGTGGGACGTTGTGAGGGACTTCCCGGAGGTGCCCGCCCGGGGGCTCCGCGCAAGTCTGTGGGGGCCCTGCTTCGCAAGAGCCTGGCAGCACCCTGAGGGCATCCTGACCTTAGAGGCCCGAGCCCTGGTCAGCAGCATACATCGTATTGCCACCACGGTGTTTGAGTCCCACATACGTCAGTTGCTGCTCTGTGACAATATGTCGGTCGTGCTAAGCTTCAATCGAGGGGGGAGCTCTTGTTTCAACTTGTTGGTCCAGATTCGTCGATTTCATGCTGTCTGTCTGAGCCGAAATATTCGTTGTTCGGTTCGTTGGATACCAAGTGAGCTCAACAGTGCCGACCTCCCCTCACGGCTATTTGATCCTGACGGCGCAAAGTCCACCCTTCTGGCTGAGCTGTTGGAGCTCGAGGGCTCCCAGGCGGGCTCAGAGCGGGTTCCCGCCTGGTCCGCACCTGAGCGGGTAGCCGGTGGCGCCGCGGCCCGCGATGCTGCCTGTGCGCCCCCGGGCGCCAGGCGGGCGTGGCCGCTGCCTCGGCCCCCTGCAGGTCAGACAGGGCGCGAGGCTAGGGGCGGGACGCCGGCGCACACGGCGGCTGGCGCCGTCTCGCCTGAGGCCTGGCCTGGGGACGTCTGCCCAGGGTCAGGAGGCAGGATGCCCGCGGCAGCTTGCCCCTTTGCCGCCAGTCGCGCCGCGGCCGTCGCCGGCAGCTCGGCGGGGGCGTCAGCTGGGCGAGTCCGAGCTCCTGAAGACAGCGGTGCAGGGCCGTCTCCTGCCGCTGAGCCTGGAGCAGATGGCGGAGGACCTGAAGGAGGTGCCTGGGCCAGATGGGCCCGCTTTGCCGCCAGTCGCGCCGCGGCCGTCGCCGGCAGCTCGGCGGGGGCGTCAGCTGGGCGAGTCCGAGCTCCTGAAGACAGCGGTGCAGGGCCGTCTCCTGCCGCTGAGCCTGGAGCAGATGGCGGAGGACCTGAAGGAGGTGCCTGGGCCAGATGGGCCCGCTCAGGGAGCGCGAGAGAGCGACGGCTCCTCCGGCAGCGGGAGCTCCGAGCCCGAGGTCGAGACCAGCGCCGCGCGGCAGCGCAGGCTCGCGCAGTCGCACGGGCGCCTTGCCCGCCACTACGGGATGACCACTGGCAAGAAGGGGTCCCCTTACCTGGAGAGGGAGGCCGCGTGGATCCCGCCGCTGCGCGAGTACCAGAGGGCTGCGAACACTGGCGAGGTCATGGAGAGCAGGGGCGATTCCATGGTGATCTCGGCGTTGGTGGGCCAGCGGACCGGACTGCACCAGACTGGGACTCGCCCCTTCTGGGCCGAGAGGCTGATGGTTGGCGGCCTGCACTTCAACCCCGACGTGTCGAGCTACGGTGCCCGGCGCCTCCCCCCGGGCTGGAGTTTCTGGACCCTGAGGCTCTTCCCGGAGGAGAAAGGCCCGTGGGAGAGAGCGGGCCTGGTGGAAGTGTCGCTAGAGTCAGACTCGCCCTGGATGCGCTTCTTGGGCCCTGTGCTGAGTCAGATGAAAAAGGAGATGCACCCCGAGTGCCCGTGGAACTTCACGTGCCCAGAGTGCCGCAGGATGTTCAGCCTGCGTCTCCAAGACCTGCCAGCAAGAGCCGAGTTGGTGCCGTATCAGGTCTGCCTTTCAAGGGCCTTGGTATGCATGGCGAGGAGGTGGGGGCGGCTGGCCGAGTTGCAGACACGCTGGCAGTGGAGAGCCAAGCGCAGCGTCGTCCGCCACGAGAAGCACGCGCGCCTGGCAGCCACGTGGACAGCTCGGAGCCGCACGATGCAAAGAGTGTTCCTGGTCTGCGGGGCTCAGCTCGCGGACATCATTTTGGATCGCGCCTCGCCGCTCGACTTGCGGGAGCTCGACCGCGTCTGACTGGCCAATATGTGGCCGACTGCTTCAGTGGCAAAGGAGGCGTGGGTCGCGCCGCAATGGCAATGGGCGTACCAGCCAGGTTCTGGGACACGCTGCACGGGCCGGGCGGCGACCTCACCCGACGGAAGGTCCTGCGGGGCTTGTGCTCCGACATCGCCGCAGGCCGCGTCTTGGCCGTGATGCTGGCGCCGCCGTGTGGGCCCTGGACCACCGCTGCCGACCGAGTGGGAGCCATCCGCTCGGCATCGCAGCCCTGGGGACTTCCGGGACATCTTCTGAGTACGAAACAGCTGGCTCGCCTGGCATCGGGCAATAAGACCATGCGTGCCGCTCTGAGCGTCATCAGATGTTGCGAGAATTTTAAAGTCCCCTGCATACTTGAGCATCCTGTAAATTCACGCGTTTTTGTCACGAGAGAGGTTCTGGGGGTTATAGAACGGGGGGCTGTTGTAAGATGTCTCGATCAGTGTCAGGAGGGTGCTCGCTGGCGCAAACGAACAAGATTTTTGTGTCTGAACATAGATGTTCAGGATAGCTGCTGCCTCGATCGTCGGTGTGGTCAGATCAACGGTATTTGTAACAAGTCTGGCCGTCCACACATCGTGCTGGAGGGCAACGCCCCGAATGGTGCGAGATGGACCGCTATCGCTGCCGCCTATCCGCCAGCCCTCAATAGGAAACTCGCTAAAGTCCTTTTGAGTGAATGGCGCGCGTCGTTATATAATCACCCTTGCCCACCCACCCAGTAAACATTCTTGGGAACGGCTTGGGTTGACGGTGCCTCACAGCTGAGCGCAAGGACGCGCAGCCGTTCGTTCATCTGTGTCCCCGCCTTGAACAGATCTCGGGACGTCCTGGTTTGTGCTTGCACGTGAAGGAAGTCAAGAGGGGTTTTCATTATGTCGCCCCTTTGGTTCCGCTCCTTCTTGCATCGCATAGCTTCTCTGGCCCCCCGCCCCCCCGAACCCTCTCGAGCATGCGTGCACACACATGCTCTGTCTCATTTTTCTCTCTGTGGTTGACGGTGCCTCACAGCTGAGCGCAAGGACGCGCAGCCGTTCGTTCATCTGTGTCCCCGCCTTGAAAAGATCTCGGGACGTCTTGATTTTGGCCTCTTCGGGCCCTCCTGAAGGAGCTCTTGGAGGCCTCTTGGGCCGTCTGGGTGGCCTCTGGGGGGCCTCTTGGGCCGTCTTGGGCTCTCTGAGGCCGTCTTGGAGGCCATCTTGGACCATCTTGGGCGGACTTGGAAGCCATCTGGGGCCGTCTTGGAGGTCATCCTGGCCGTCTTGTGTGGCCGAACGTTGAGGCCAGATCTGCCAAGCCATCGGACCATGTGTTCCCCGAATCGGATTGGAAAGCCTTCGGGGAACACGTGGGCGTCTTGAAGGTCATCGTGGCCGTCTTGGAGGCCTCTTAGGCGATCTTTCGCCGATCTCTGGGGGCTCTTGGGCCGCCTCGGGCCGTCGGAAGGCCGAAAAAAAGAAGGGAACTGTCACAATCCGTAAAAGGAACTTAAGGCAAATCAAAATGTTTTGGCATTTCTGCTTATGAGAGGATTGGGGCCTCTTGGGCCGTCTTGGGCCAGCTTTTCGAGCCAACTTTCGGCCATCTGGTGGGTTCCTGGACCGTCTGACGCCGTTCGGGAGCCGTCTTGGGGGCGTTCTGGGACAACGGGGACCCTCTTGGGAGCTTGGGGCCGGTCTGGAGGCCATTGGGCGTCTTGGAGGCCATCGTGGGACGCGTGTGGCGGCCTCTTGGGGCCGTCTTGGGGCCTCTTGGGGCCTCTTGGGGGCCACTTGGGCGCATGGGGCCCTCTTGGGGGCCTCTTGGGCGACTCTTGGGGGGCCTCTTGGCCTATCGTGGTCTTGAGCAGTCGGAAATGCCGAGAAGAACGAAATTTCAACATCCTTCAAAAACCACCGGCAAATCATTGATCTCGGCCTCATTCGGGCCCTCCTGGAGGGGACATCTTTGAGGCTTCTTGGGCCGTCTGGGAGGCCTCTGGTGGGCCTCTTGGGCCGTCTTGGGCCGTCTTGGACTCTCTTGTGCCGTCTTGGAAGCCGTCTTGGACCATCTTGGGCGGACTTTGAGGCCATCTGGGGCCGTCTTGGAGGTCATCCTGGCCGTCTTGTGTGGCCGAACGTTGAGGCCAGACCTGCCAAGCCATCGGACCATGTGTTCCCCGAATCGGTTTGGAAAGCCTTCGGGGAACACGTGGGCGTCTTGAAGGTCATCTTGGCCGTCTTGGAGGCCTCTTGGGCGATCTTTCGGCGATCTTTGGGGGCTCTTGGGCCGTCTCGGGCCGTCGGAAGGCCGAAAAGAAGGACATGTCAAAATTTCCGCGCAACAAAAACCTAGCAAATCAATGTTTTTTGGAACTTTCTGGCCTTCCGGCAGGCCCTCATCGGGCCTCTTGGGCCGTTCTTGGGCCAGCTTGCTTCGGGGGCCTTCGGTCACTTGGTGGGTTCCTGGCACGTCTGACGCCGTCGGGAGCCGTCTTGGGGGCCTTTCTGGGCCACGGGGGACCCTCTTGGGGCGCTTCGGGGCCGTCTTGGAGGCCATCTTGGGCGTCTTGGAGGCCATCTTGGGCGTGTTGGAGGCCTCTTGGGCCGTCTTGGGGCCCTCTTGGGGCCATCTTGGGGGCCACTTGGGCCGTCATGGGGCCCTCTTGGGGGCCTCTTGGGCGATCTTGGGGGCATCTTGGGCCGTCTTGAGCCGTCGGAATGCCGAGAAGAAGCGAATTCCAACATCCTTCAAAAACCATAGGAAAATCATGGATTTTGGCCTCTTCGGGCCCTCCTGGAGGACCTCTTGGAGGCCTCTTGGGCCGTCCGGGAGGCCTCTGGTGGGCCTCTTGGCCTGTCTGGGGCCCTCTTGGACTCTCTTGGGCCGTCTTGGAGGCCGCCTTGCACCATCTTGGGCGGACTTGGAGGCGATCTTGGGCCATCTTGGAGGCCATCTTGGGCCATCTTGGCCATCTTGGAGGCCATCTTGGAGCCGTCTGGGGCAGAACATTGGGGAAGTGAGGTCCGTGGAAAAAATCCCGGGACCCCGGCGGGACGGGCCGAAACCCACTGGGAGAGTTCTTTTGGAAAAAGAGCCAAAACCAAAACCGATAGGATTCGGCACGCCGGGCACCCCTTTGCTGAAGCGAAAGGGGGCGGTGGATCGAAGACGCCTACGGCGAATCACCGCCGCCCCCTGCCTTTTTGGAAGCGCCTATGTGGCCGAACGTTGAGGCCAGACCTGCCAAGCTATCGGACCACGTGTTCCCCGAATCGGTTTGGAAAGCCTTCGGGGAACACGTGGGCATCATGAAGGTCATCTTGGCCGTCTTGGAGGCCTCTTGGGCAAGCTTTGGGCGATCTTTGGGGCTTTTTGGGCCGTCTCGGGCCAGCTTCGAGCCAACTTCGGCCATCTTGGTGGGTTCCTGGCACGTCTGAAGCCGTCGGAAGCCGTTTGGGGGGCCTCTATGGGCCGACTTGGGGCCCGCTTGGAATGCTCCAGGGCCGTCTTGGAGGCCATCTTGGGCGTCTGGGAGGCCATCTTGGGCGTGTTGGAGGCCTCTTGGGCCCTCTTGGGGCCCTCTAGGGGCCATCTTGGAGGCCACTTGGGCCATCATGGGGCTCTCTTGGGGGCCTCTTGGGCGATCTTGGGGGCTTCTTGGGCCGTCTTGAGCCGTCGGAGAGCCGAAAAGGCGCAAATGCCAAAATCCTTCAAACACCAAAGGAAAATCAATGATTTTGGCCTCTTCGGACTCTCCTGGAGGACCTCTTGGAGGCCTCTTGGGCCGTCTGGGAGGCCTCTGGGGGGCCTCTTGGGCCGTCTTGGGCCGTCTTGGACTCTCTTGGGCCGTTTTGGAGGCCGTCTTGGACCATCTCGGGCGGACTTGGAGGCCATCTTGGGCCATCTTCGCGATTTTTTGAGGATGTCCCGAGCGAAACGGCCGTTTTTGGGCATTGACAGACGCATTTTGGGAAACGCGCGGGTGGCCGGCGGGACGGGCCGAAGCCCACTGGGGAGTTCTTTTAGAAAAAGAACCAAAACCAAAACTGAATCATCCAGCACGCCGTGCACCCCTGCAAGCAGGGGGCGGCGGATCGAAGACGCCTACGGCGAATCACCGCCGCCCCCTGCCTTTTTGGAAACGCCGATGTGGCCGAAAGTTGGACTAGAGCTTGGCCAAGCTATCGGACCATGAGTTCCCCGAGTCGGTTTGGAAAGCTTTCGGGGAACACATGGGAGAGAATGATTATGAACAGGAAGAGGAAGAGGAAGAAATAGAGTAGGAGGATGAGGGTTGTTAGGAGTCTCTTGGGGCACCCTTGGGGTCTGTTGGGGGCTTCTTGGGGGCCTCTTCGAGGCCTCTTGGAGGCATCTTGGGGGCCTCCTTGGGCCTCTTGGGGGCCTTTGGGGGCTTCCTGGGGGTCTCTTTGGCCGTCTTAGGGCGTTCCTGGTCCGTCTGACGCCGTCTGGAGCCGTCTTGGGGGCCTCTCTGGGCCGTCTTGGGGCCCTCTTGGGGCGCTTCAGGGCCGTCTTGGAGGCCATGTTGGGCGTCTTGGAGGCCTCTTGGGCCGTCTTGGGGCGCTCTTGGGGCCGTCTTGGGGGGGCCCTTGGGCCGTCATAGGGCCTTCTTGGAGGCCTCTTGGGCGATCTTGGGGGCCTCTTGGGCCGTCGGAAGGCCGAAAAGAAGAAAACGCAAAAAACCTTCAAAAACCTAAGGAAAACCAATGATTTTGGCCTCTTCGGGCTCTCCTGGAGAACGTCTTGGAGGCCTCTTGGGCCATCTTGGAGGCATCTTGGGGCCATCTTGGCCGTCTTGGAGGGCATCTTGGGCCGTCTTGGAGGCATCTTGGAGCCATCTTAGCCGTCTTAGAGACCATCCTGGCCGTCTTAGAGGCATCTTGGAGGCCATCTTGGAACCGTCTGGGGCAGGAAATTGGGGAATTGAGCTCCTGGGCATCCTTTCCGGGTGGCCGGCGGGACGGGCCGAAGCCCAC